GCCCATTGCTCCTGTTAGGTTATAAAATGGGACATTTAAGAGGCATGTAACCTGATTTGGCATTTATTATTTTTAATAGCAAAATATAAGCCATACTTGTGCTTAGCTAGTTTGTATGAATGTTTGCCCTTGTCCTGCCATTCTATTCCTTGTAGCCTTATATATATTCTCTTCTTCAGGTGTATGGGAGTAACTCTCACTAACAGGGACTTTCTCCCTATATATTTGTGTTTTTCTGCAGCACAGTGATACTGCAGGCATTTGACCTTTGCAATAATTGTCAAAACCAACATAAAATCATAAGGAGAAATTACATAAGGAGAAATGAGACAAATCCAGAAGAATAGTGCAGTGCAAAACTTTGTTATGCTAGAATAAATAAATATAGGTGATCCAAACCCTTTCATGATCTCCCGCCCTTAGTGACAGCTTGGGAAGAAAAAGATGGGACAGAACGAGTGTGAAGACTCTAAAAAACTCATATGCGTCCAAGGCCTGCTTCAGCCCTCTCTAATGTATCCTGTAGTGAAATCCAAATGATTTCACTAGAGGATACATTTCACTACCTATATGAGTTCTGTTCTTGTCCTCCTTGTCACAGACCTTCAGTTCCAGCTGCATATATATAACATGGTGGATTTGAACTTAAAAAAGCAATTTCTTGATGTCTTAATGACTATTAGTTACAGGGACTCCACTACTTATCTAGAACTCTCCATACAAAATATTTATATACAGGCCATTGCTAGCTACTGCATAGGTGAGATGGGTGTAGCACAAACACATCTAATCTATCCATTCCCATCTTCATTTGTTGGAAATGTCTTGATTTAGAAATGAAAGTTAACTTGTCATTAGTGACTATCATTATTCCCAACTTGCTTTGCCTCCATACATATATTGTTTAGTAAAGCCTAATATTTTTTTTTGCTCTTGATACAGGCCTTTGTTACCGTACAATGTCCTGTGTGACTGGAAACCATCCCAGACTATGTGTTTCAAATGAGTCGGTAACTCAGAATTTCTGCGTTGATACCATCTGTCACAATGGCTCGTTGTGTGATTAACAAGAATTTATTATTAATGTGACTTTTTTTTTTAATATTCCATTACAGTTGGTAACTCTTTAATTGCACACCCACTGTTTTTTTCCAGGACTACTCTGGCATACAGTGACAGCAGAGACAGGACCATTAGCTGTCATTACTAAACTGAGTAACGGAAATGCTCTGCATTGTCCTGGTATTGCCATTCAGTATTGTATTGCCAAATGCCTATTTTCTCTGACATTTCTTCTCATGACTGCAGATACTGTAATTGCTGTGAGACCTCTGCATTTTTATGTGCTCATTTTTAAATGAAAAAAAATGTTGTGAAAAATACCTTTTACTGACAGTTTGTCTAGTCTTTTCAGTATTCCTTAGGTTGCTGGAAAACAACGTAAATCTACAGGATGAGTGATGCAGCTGTAAATGCTTTACCAGGTAAAGTAAAAGGGAATGACATAAGAGATCCTTCAGACAAAGCCCTTCTTTCTGAACACATGGGCTAGAAGACAACTAATTTCTGGTTTTACCTTGCTAATGGTGTATGTATTTTTCCCGTAGTGTATCTGAATAGAAATGGCTCATGAATGAAAATTAGTTATAAAAGGGCAGTGCTGAGTATCCCAGGTTTTGAAGGAAGCCTTCATGCAAGATAAGTTAAACATATGTTGTAGTCAGTTCATCAGTTGTAGGACTGAACTGTTTGTGTGACCCAGATTTTCTTAAGTTTGTATTTCTTCTTTGAAGTAGGTTAAGGAGATATGGTATTGCAGGAGCAGTCATTCAACTCTTTTTAAAAATTAGGTCCCCTTAAAATGTTATCGTTGGAATCCTGTGAGAGGTTTTGTACAGGAATGAAAGCTCCATCCTTCCTTTTTTGCAGAGAAATAAGCTCTTTATGAAAACATAACTTCTTTATTTTCTTATTCAAATGTTATGTTATGCTGCTAAAATGATATTTCCATTATGTTATAAGCAGTTTTGATTAAGCGAAATCCTTGAGGACACTTCACCAGGAGTAGAAAAATGGATTTTAGACTGATGGAAAATACAAATTTGTTTTTCAATCCTAAAATTGGGTAACTGTGCTTGCTCCTCAACGTGGACTCCTTACGTGCATAGCTGCTGTAATGAGTGCATAAACAAACATCAGATACTATACAAATATCATATTACCTTACACAGTAGAGGAATACAAATAAGTATTGGTAGTAACCACTACAAAATATCTGGATGATTTGAATTTTAACTCATTGGGTCTAAATCTTTCTCTCCTTGTCTCCTTGTCTCCTACATCATCGTGTGATGACAAAAGTGGCTGTTGATCATTACTGGAGTGGGAAAACCACATTGTAGAAGAAGTCAAATTAAGATACTCTGGATTTCAAAGGTAGTGGTGTATATGAGAGCAAAAGAAGGAAACCTTAACATTGTTAAAGGAGCAATTGCATGTTATACTGAGCAGTTCCACTGGCAATGTGGAATTGCTCAATATAACATGCAATTGAACCCAGTAGAACTTCATTGATTATTTTTTTTGCGTGTGATTCTGTGGGATGATATGGTTTTTAAAGATGGCTCTCTCCCATTACTGACTGACTGTTGGTAGGTTATATGCAAGTTCATACCCAGAAAACTCACTATGGTGATGAGGAGAGACTTATTCACTATGTTTGACCATAGATCAGAACAACACAAGTACAAAAGGACTGAGACAGAGGCAAGACTGGGAGGCTGCAGGCACCTATTCATTACTCTCACCATGACCATGCTCCTGTCCAGCCTCAAAGGAGGACAAGCCTTATGCAGTCATGGCTCTGCAGTGGTTAGCGACATAATATAAAGTGAGTATCTCTGTTGTCAAAATAGCATCAATCAAAGATAATCTGTGTTTTACCTAATCATGCTGAAATCACAGGAAGCTATGTAACTGGAGCTGTCCCATTCCTTGAATAGCAAGCCCTCAGTGACACATCAGGTTTTTTTGGAGCATCTTTCCCTTGAAGTCCTTTTGAAAATTCTGTCCAATGTTTTGATGGATATGAACTTCTGAGTAGCACAAACTGCAGTTCAGCTCTCTAATCTCTGTTATTAATACATAGACAATAATTATATTCCATTAGTAAATTGGCAGGATATATTCAATTTCTTTTGCTTGCAATGAAATTCATTAGCTTGTCAAAAAAATGACCTTGGCCATTTTCAAATAAGTAAATGAATTTTAGTGCTTCAGCTATAACCATAGAAAACTCTTACTTGGAAGAATTAACAAATGGTTGAATGCCATTATAAATTGAAGGATGCCACTCAAACTTAATTCAAATGGGGTTAGACTCCTAGGATGATGTATATTAGGACCAGGAGCAACGTGAAATGTAGGTCTGTGACACGCAGGACCCAACCGTCATTGCTGTTTCATCCATAGTAGTATTTTAGCACTACTTTTGCTTTTTGCCTACAATATTCTAATTATTTCAGAAATTCAATTATGTGATGAAAAATCTGCCTCTGATTCCCACTGAAAATCTATTCTAATGTATTTTATACCCATATGTCTTTTAAGATTATGTTTCTATCTGAAGTATCTCCTCTTATCGCTCTTTGTATATGTAGATAATCTAATCACTCTTAGCTTCCTATACAAAGTGATTTTCTACTACCAAATACTTTGTAATGCTGTTTTTATGCACTAAGTACAAAGTTGAAATAGCACCCCTGTTTTTCTGAGCTTTGACTGCTTGAGGAAGAATCTATTACCCACTAATTTTTTGCCATTGCAAGAGTTTTTCTTTCCTGGTCTCTGCCACATTACAACACCCCCAATTAAAAGATTCCTGGCAAGGGAGTCTGTAGGAGGGAGTGCCACTGGACGTAGATTTTCATGGAGCTCAAGGGCTTCTCCTATTTTTTGTGACTGTGAAGACAAGGAGGAGTTTACTAAAATGAGAGCTCTATTTCCAATATGGGAGCCAGCTTTTGTGGTAGGGCTGTAACCATGGTGACCATGCTGATCCCTTGGGTGAGGGCTAGATCCCACTCTGCCAGGACTACCTAATCTCTGTGGGGCTATGCCTGTGAGACAGAACTTCAGATGATGCTGAGTGATAATAAAATAAAATCTTTATTTTTAATAGATGGACAAAACAGACCCAAAACCAGACAGTATTTTCCTGAAATGCATGGGCACTATTGAATACAACACAAATGAAGTCAAAACATATATATCTATATTATGCTTCCTATCTGCTTCATTAAGTATAGTCTTAATATAACATTTCTGACACAGACAAAAATATACTTTTTTTTTAACAACAGCCACAAATACTGCCCTGATTAATAGCAGACTTACAATAACTTACTAACTGCACATGGAACTTGATCAATACAGTTGAAGGGCAGAAGGAAAAATGAATAACAGTTTTTTTCCTATGATACTTTTATTTGAAATCCTAAATTGTTGTACTATATGAAAATAAGACTAAATCTGACTTTTACTTTATTTGATCCACTTAATGTTTACATTCAGTTCAGGTTCACAAAAGTATTTTTTATTTATAATACATATACCATCCCATTTGGACAAATATAGATGAAATCATAACTTTTTTGACATGTCAGCTATGTTTTTAACCTTGATTTTATGAAAACATCTCATGCAAAAGAGGTAAAAATCCCTGTCAAATAAATGTTATTCACAAATGCTAAGAACATGAAAATAAAATGCATGATTGTGATATGAATATTTTATCTAGACATTGAAGGCTCACAAACAACAACCTCAGTGTCTGAAAATGAGCTGTTTGCTTCACTGATTATAGATCCAATTTACTGCACAGTACTACTGTCTACAAATTGTAAAAGTGGAGAAGGAGTGTCTGATAATTCCTCTAAAAATAAAATCTACTTGAAGAATCACATCCTGTTGGCATTTTGCTTGTGGAAGCAACTCAGTTGTATTTTGTTCCTTTTTTTTTTTTTTTAAACCCACATCTATCAATCACAGATGTAGCCTTTGGTTATATGAACAGCTCCATACAAACTTAATGGTAGGAAAGCTGAACTAAGGCAAATAAAACCTATAAACAGACTTTGCATGGGGCTATTTAGTTTAGCTTTTGTAGTCATCCCATCCACTGTGCAGCCCACCACTGCAACCATGGCAGGCATTGTTGGACTTGCACAAAGACACACAAACAGAATTGGTACGTGGAAAGCAGAGTTAGGGTCACAGGATAAACAGATCACTTCCCTCCTTTGCATGATAAAGCTTCCATGGTATGCTATATGAAAAAGTGCAATAACTTTTCAGTCTCTGCAGAGAGTACTGAAAAACTTTATTGGAACCATTTTTCACACAGGGAATGCGTAGTTCCATCGGGGTAGGAATATTGTGCAAAACCACATCAATTTAAAAAATTTTCTATAGGATAAAAATGTAAAATATTCTAATAATGTCGAAAGCATCTGGGTTGAAATTTTTGGACTAACACCTTTATTTTTTTCACTTACCTTTTTTTGAGCATTATAGAAACATTTACATTTTTATCGCAACAAGAGAATACAAAAGAAAAAGATTTTTATTTTTCCATCAAAATGTCTCAATATAAAAATGTTGCAATATTCAAAGCATCTGGTCACTATGTAGTTTCTCATAGTTAAATTCTAGCAATTCCTGGACAAAACTCAGGTAAGAGAATATTTTTTTAGGAAGACCTAGAGGTGAGTGTAAAATGGAATTCTCTAACTTAACTTGGAACTGCGGCGTAAGGCATTGGCTGTGTAAGCAGGCAAAGATGTGGCTTGATATGTTCTTGTAAGAAGGGATTTAGGCTAGAGGATCTGGGTAGGAAATGGACAATAATTCAGCAGTGGCTCTGTTCTCCCCCTCTTTTTCCTATACAATCTCTTTTCTCATCTCTCCGCTGTAGTTCATGGGGGAACGAATACTGCTGGGCTTATGTTTGGTTTGTGATACCCAGCACCCTGAATTTTGTAGTCGGTTTGTTCACTCACCTTGCAGGAATTATTCATTTCTTTGTTATATTGGCTCTTGTGGGTTTTTAGTGCAGATCCTGATTTTGATTCCCTCCACCCAGAGCACACTCAATATTTGTTAGCACAGTAGTACCGCAGGTCACAATGCATATTCAGAACTGAGATGCAATGTTATTTTTAAATGCAGTGCAAGGAAAAATAATCAACATATCTAAAATTAATTTTTTCTACATATAAAATATATATATGCTGTTAAGACTCCACAAAAGGAGCAAAAACATACCTAAGAATTCAGCCTTGTGAAAGCTTATGTCAACACTGAACGCACAAGTTGATGGCTTCTTCCTTTAGCAGCAAAACCTATTCTTACATCTACTACCCTCTAGTATAGCTCCTCGTGCTGTGAGTGTTAAAAAAAGAAATTTCAGCAGTGACCAGCAACACGAGGATGTCTGGATTTCAATGGAACATTTTGTGTCATGCGCAGAGTTTAAAAAGAATTATTGGAGCATAACTCTTAACTGTACAGAAATCTAGCTACTAGAGCTCCCACTGTGAAAGGCACATACCAATGGGGACAGACACAATCATCTTGGCCGTGGGCAAATGGAAACGATGTTGCGTGTTCCCTGCCAGCCAGGGCAAAGACAGGAGAGGCCTCATCTCCCTGCTTTGCTGCCTTTGGCCATTCATGAGCGAAGTCTTGTCAGCATCCGGCCACTGGTGATGCTCCGCAGCATTACTGTGATGGCCAGGAGCACAGACAGTAATGAAGGAGTCCAGCATTTAGTGGAAGACACCACTGTGACTTTCGCTATGCTTGTGGTTTCAGCTTTCCTCTGACTTCCTCTCCAAGCTGCTTTCAGAGGCAGACACTTACAGATGTGGAAAGCTGTCCAACAAGCCTGTGTTTTGAAAAATTTTTGAGAAAGAGTGATTTTCTATGGAAAATCTACACTTTCCAGAGTAATCCCAGCAAGACCACACCAAAAGACTTTTCGATAACTTAGAGAAGACTTTTTTCAATATGTGAAAATGTCTTTTCAAGACTTCTTGACTTTCCTTACTTTTCAATATTTATTCCATTGGTGCAGTTGCTTGGTGTCAGAGTGCTTTACTCAGTGTTCATTTTGATGATAACTCAAGATAAGACTTCTTTTCTCAACACTGAAAATTTCTATCTAGTTTATCAGGGTTTTTTTATAAGAATAATTTTTAACAAGCTGAATTTCAACTCCAATTATTGCTTTAAGAATTTTTGAGACAGCCACTAACCACAAGAAAACAAATACCTATATTAACACACTTTGCTTAAGGTTGTCTTGCATTAGGTGCAACAGAATTTTAAACTGGTGAATTAATTTTAACTTTTTTTAAATTAATATATGATGTTTAGCAGTCCCGTAAGGTATTTATTACTATTTGTGCATTTTGCTGTCTCATACAAATAATAAAATACTAGATTGTGTTATTTAAATTTCTTTATGAGAAAAAAAATGACCAGACCAAAACTCCAGGGACGTTATCTATCTGTCTTTGCTCAAGCAACTAGCTCTTTAGTGATAAATCACTTCCAGCTGTGACAATATATTTTCACTTAATACCAATAAAATGATGACTGATAATATTTCAGAGTGACTGTATTCTAATCTCTTAATATGATATCCTAGCTAAATAGCTGTTGCACATTTTCTGCTACATGTATTTTCAATTGTAAATATTTTTTTAATTGCACAGTATATAGTTCAGGGTGCAAAGAATGGGATCTGAGTGTATATTTTTGTAAAAGCTCTATGAACTAATCCAACATGTTAGATAATAACAGAAAAGAGTTTCTCTCATGCTCCTGCTCCTAGAAACAACTTGAATGTGCAGTGGTATTTTATTCCCAATTCTTCCTTTTCTTCTGATAAAATGCCTCTTACTATTCTTTGTAGAATATCCTGTTTCTCGTTATTTTGCCTGTGGCTACCAGATTTTTTTAATTATCTTCAGTGTTGGACAGCTCTGGACTCGAATCAACGTAGTTGAAGGCTTCCTTGTTTGTGAAAGTTGAGCTCAAAGTTAGACTGTGTCGTGGATTCACAGGTGCAAGTTCATTTAGTACAATATTGTCACTTTTTACAAGAGTCGCTTTGTCCATGTGTTCTCTACTGTACCTGGCAACAACAGCATCAAGGAAGTCCAGCTTTGGTGGCAAAGTCCCACTTTCAAATAAGTATTTGGCTAAGTAAGAGACTATAACATTAGTAACGAAGGAGGTGAGCATAGCAAGTGTTTTAAATGGGAATCGCTGGACATAGATATTATTATCATCTTGATACCAGCCAGGATAGTAGATCAAGGGCTGAAGGTAGAGGTACGGTTCTCCTCCAGTTATTCTGAGAACAAGGCCAAATAAGTATCCTGCAATGGCACCATAGGTGTTGGTTCCTTTAATAAATAACACACACAGGAGCTGGGGGAATATGATGATATATACGAGGTCAGAGCTGAGGTACCACAGGCCGTACACTGATGAAGCCAGCAGTGCCATTGCTGTTGCTGATGCTCCAAACAGAAGAACAGTGATTCTCATGACCCACACAATTTCCCTGTCTGAAGCCTGCAAAAGAAGGGCAGTGTTAGGTGGTTTTTTTCATGATGAGACATGTATGCCTACATTTATGCACAGTTAATATAAGATGCTGCATTGTAAGAGGAAATTTTGCATGATTCATTCAATAATATTTACAAAGTCATATCTCTATCTCCACTGCAAAAGAAAACCCAAGGGTTATGGTTGCCATTCCAAAAGTCATTAATTTTTGAACACAAGGGAAAATTTGAGAATGTGTCAAAGAGAAAAAACAAAAGTGTTAGAAATAACCATTAGAAAGAAACACAATATGGCTCAACTAGAAAAATAACTGTCAGCATCAGAATTTCTTCTTCTCCATTTCCTAAGAAAAACTCCAACTCACTAGATAGACCATTTTGTTGTCAAATGACTTCCTGATAAATGAATAATTAGAAAAAATGTCTCATTTTGTTAAGGATTTAAGTAAGACTTATGATGCAGTGATAATAATTAGCTCTTTGGATAAACTGCAGTGCCATGACAACTCTTGAAAGCTGCTCTTCCCAAGCTGGCTTTTTACCTCCATCATCAGTCACAACCATAAATATTTTTATGACTTTCAGTTTGTTCAATAAACTGTTAGGAACTAAATGACATCCTTTTCCTAGTCATAGGCAGGAATATGAAAGAGGTGTTTCATTAGGAAATTACACCATAGTCAATCACCTAAAATTTTCTCTAAAAATAGAAACAAAAATGTTATCTCACATTTTGCCGAAAGGAAAGCTGGTAAATGTTCCGAGCAAACATAGAACTTGCTGATAAAATTGAAGAATCAGCTGAGGACATCACTGCAGCAGATACAGCGCCGAGGCCAAAGAATGAGATATAGACTGGGCAAAGGTACTGCAGCACGATCGGTAAAATCATATCTGCTTCTTTTTTACTCTTGGGGTCAGGGACACCATAATCAGTCTGGTTCCAAGCTACAATATGGACACAGGTATGTTATTAGTAACATTAGTGGTCATTGGCTACAGCATCGCTTGAATTCATTTGTAGTGAGCTATTCATATTGCCACACGTTCATTCACATTCAATACCCAAACTGTTATCAGGGCCAGACCAATACTTTTCAGAGAGACAGCATCCCACTGATTTCTGTTAGGCAGATTTAATTCTGCTCAGCACTTTTTCTTATCTCTAAAATAAGTCTCACCACAGCCTGGGGTTATCAAGTAGAAAGTTTAATATTAAAACTTTGCAATGCTTGCAAATGTAATTTTCTTCAAAACAAATCTGGTGTTCATGTCCCCTAGTGATGTGTTTAACTACCCTCTTGGATTACAGACAGGGTTCAAAGCCATGTGTTAAACATTTCTATCAGTTTAGCTACAAGGTCACTGTGATGGGGACAACTCTTACTATGACAAAGATCTTGACAAGGATATTTTGGTCAAGATAAGAAATTCCTGAAAAATCATAGAATCATTTATGTTGGAAAAGACCTTTGAGGTCATTGAGTCCAACCGTCAGCCTAGCACTGCAAAGACCACCGCTAAATCATGACCCCAAATGCCATATCTACACATCTTTTAAATACCTCCAGGGATGATGAATACACCCTGCGCAGCCTGCTCCAAACAAGCCTGCTTGACAAACCATTTGGGGAAGAAATTTTTCCTAATATCCAATCTACACCTCTCCTGGTGCAACTCAAGGCCATCTCTTCTCATCCTGTCACTTGTTACTAGGGAGAAGAGACCAACCTGCACTTCGCTACAACCTCCTTTCAGGTAGTTCTAGAGAGCAATATGGTCTCCCCTCAGACTCCTTTTCTGCAGGTTAAACAATCCCAGCTCCCTCAGTCACTCACCATCATTACTGTTAGGACCAAATAAAAGTACCACAATCTAACTCAAACATTGAATAGAGATATTATGTCTGTAGATACCTATAATGTGCACATGATTTCATTTCACCCACTGGGGTGGGAGCAATTTCCTTTTGGAGAAATATTCTATACTGTTATTTTTATGTGTAGTTTCCTACCCATAAAGAAGTCATGAGTTGATTAACAGTGCCACCTGACTATCTAACCTATATGTCACCTATATCTAACATAAGCTTTGTTTTTTCAAACATTGCACTATTCATTTTACATTTATTTTACTACTGATTTTTAATCATTTACCTGTAGATGCTCCAATTGCACCAATGAGTACTGCAGGAATAGCCATCACAAGACAGCCAAAAGCAGCCAGGAATGACAGAACTTGAGCATATGTGGCAGAAGATGAGGAAAGAACTCGCTGGAAATATGCTTGCCATGGTATTCCTCCTAATGTCTGCAAACACAACAGGCAGAATGCTGTCATTGGGAGCTAACTGGATTTTTTTTGCTGCCACCATATAGAAAGCATGTAGAAGCATCACTTGAATGCTGAAAGCCATGTTGCTACTTTTTAATTTATTTAGCCAGTAATAACTGCAACTTTCATTCTCACAAGAAATGTCAAACCTGTGTAAGTCCACTTAAATCCCATTCTTTTAGACAAGTTAATTTTTTGTATGGTTAGAAGCAACACTTTGTGCTTACATAGTCTCTGTAACCCCCAAATACTTAATAAAGTCTTACGAAAAGTTATAAAATACTATTGTCGTATTTCATATTTGAAGAATTTGCCTCCAATACCCTTCTCCCATCAAAATTAGATTGGACTCTCCAATAGGATTTGAAAGCAAGAGTTTATCTTCTTTGAGAATGCATGTGGTCATTTGAACAAGGCAAGATGTTCTGTATACAGTCAACTCAAGAATCTGAAAAATTATTCTCCCACTGCCTTAAGCAAATACAATAAAAATAGAAATTGAAGACAGAGTAGTAAAAGCAAGTTTTCTTTTATGGTAGAAACCCTTATCTTTTATTTCTTCACTGTTATATAACAGTGAAGATCTTGATGAGACAAAATTATTTCTGCAAAATACAACACAGGAGAGTATTAGCAAATGTTAAAAAACCAAGTTCTTACAATTCTGTCTTGCGAGCAGGATTTGAATTGTCTCCACAAAATAAAAAAGTGTCTGTTACTAAACAGCATGGAAAGAAAACCAAGCAAAGTGCTCACTAACTGGACACTGTCCAGTTCTACACACTAAATGAGGTAGGAGGCATTTGGAGCAAATATTGTGTATACAGGTGTTTCATGTATGTTTCATGCACATATAGGGACTAACATAATGTTTCACAGACAAATCTCGTTTTGACTTGCTATTTGTGACTGTTTTCCTTTGCTGCCTTAATAATCCTTTAACAAAGCTTTCCAAGGATGTGTAAATTTCTTGAGCTATAATGAAACAAACAAGATGAAACCTTCAGGCTTACCAGAGAGAATACAGCCACTTGAGCTAATGCCATACTTTGGATCTCTGAGAGAAAGCTGGATAAAATAATGTATTTTAATAGCCCAATTATCAGAAAACCCTAAAGATTTTTTATTGAGATGATTTAAAAAAAAAGACAGAGAAACTAATCCCGAAGTACAATAAAACCAGTTCAGATTTGCATAAAGACACTAAGAATGGAAAATGTTAGCATGTGTTTCTAGATCTTCTAATGGAAAGTACTTAATAACCATTGATCCCACGTGTAATACATAGTTATTAAATAACAAAAGCCCTTGGTTCATTCTGGGATTTGTGCATGTATGAATTCATCCATCCTGCCATCCACCTCTGCACAGCTTTTTCTACTTCACCTATACCTAAGGCATATTTGATCATTTGTATAACATATTTATTGCCTTCTGCAATATATAAATTCCTCTGCCAACAATGACATCAGTTAAGTATTAGCTGCACACTTTTATTTAATTTTAACATGTCAACTCTTTCAGCCTGATGATATCTAAATTGTATTCCTGGCAATGATGACTGATATGTCACTGAAATCATTCAAATGTGCAGAAAGACTGAGCAGGAGTCAAGAGGGTTTCAGTTTGCTGGAAACTCTTAACTAAGCTCTATTACTTTCAGTTGTCACAGTAACACAGTGTGAATGTATAAATGCTTCATTCCTTCATACAAATCACCACTTACCAGTAAAAAGAAATTGTCCAACCATGTGTAAATGTCAAGTGAGTTGATAGATCCAAGCCAAGGTGCTTGGTACACCTGGTGCACAGCTGTGAGCCCAATGTCTGTTACTGCAGGATGGGACATCGCAAAGGGGACACTGATCCACTGTAACCAAAGAGAAACATTCTGTTCATGTCTAAAGAAGACATTCTAAATTTGTGAAATGTTGATATTAACCCTGATCTAGTTTTCTTCTTCTTGCACGCTACAGATTGAATGCCAAACTGCCACATTGACTTGCAGTAAAGTCAAGTTATGTGCTGGAGGAACATCTCTGAAATCCAGAGAGCTTGGTAGTGGATAGCTTACGTCTCTCCTGGAGACTGTGAGAAGAGAATTAATCAATGTAAATCACAAAATCAGCAGGGAAGATATATTTATACATCTTCATTTTATTTTCCCTGAACTCCTCATATATTCTTTACACTCTTTCCTGGACCAGACAGTAGAGAAATATTTACATATAAACTTGCATGTAATAGCATCAGGATTTGCCAGTTTACAAGCATGAGACATCACAGCTGAAGGCTTGGGAATTTGTTAGTAATTCAGTACAAAACTGTATCATGACAAGAGATATCAAAAGAGATACAAAACTATATTGTGACAAGATCAAACTCTCATTAGCCCAGTGTTACATCACTTTTCTGCCTTGAGGGTGTTTTCTCGGGATCTCCTGACCATTTTTAGTCTCTCTCTTTTTTATCTAGGCCAAAAAAACCTTTCCCAGAGACAGTTTCTGCCAGAAGGTCCATTTCCTTCTCCAACTGACTTTTTGTGCATTTACTTGCCAACTCGTTTTGCAATGGTATAACTCCCTTTCTATGGAGGAGAAAATCAGCAGCTCCTACCGAGATGAAAATCAGGCTTTGTGCTATATGGGCTAGACCATCACGAGCATAGCATCCTTAAGAATCTAATGATATCCAAAACCACACAGATTGCTACAATTCAACTGATCACAGTTAAGTATATGGGGTCAACAGGAGCAAGGAAGGGAAAAATCACCTTTCTCTAATTTGTTGCACAATTACTGCAATAATGTATGAAGAATATTTTGCAGTACTGCCTGTTATTCTGGCAGTTTAACACACACCATAGGATTCTGTTCTGCTACATGTTAAACTTCAATTTAAGCAGTTGGGCAGAAAGATTCCCTTCTCACTCCATGCTTGAGCTTTTCTGTGAAAGTTCACCAAAATGTTTCAACTGCCTCCAAGATATTTTGAGGGAAAAATAAATATATTTTCAAAATTAATGGATATTAATACTGTTCTTACTGAGAAATTAATGGGGAACAAGGATGTCAAAGGATTTTTTTATTCTCGTTTCTGAATCTCAAACATGTCCGACTGATGAGCTTCTGAACAGCTGTAGTTTGACCATACTCCACTGGGATTTTCAGTGGGGTAAATCTCTGAAAGTCTATCTGGACTCTGCATGCCACAACCCAGGATTTAGTAGGTATTGTATTGCAAATGCATTATGAGCTTTTGTAAGCCATTCCAGTTCCTGACAGTAACCTAGCTTTTTGCGGTCTCGAGGACTACCTTTACGGTAGTAAATAAAACAAATCAAGACACTTTCTCTGGCCCTGCAGTTCACTGGCATGTCATGGTTTATATCCATACATTTAGACTCCTTTTCCTGGAAAAAATGACAAACCTCAACTGTTTCTGGGAATTATTTGAGAAAATAGAGAGTACAGAATGGGGAATTAATAATACAGATGAGATGAAGAGTCAGTAAATAGTGGGGATACAGTCAAGGAAAGTCTCACCAGGCAAGATAAAGATAAAGAGATGAGAACTCTAGATGTGGATACAAGAGAGTGAGGAAGGTAGAAGAGACACTACATGAGATTGTAAAGAGAAAACCACGGATGTACATATGGCTGGGGTTAGAGGTTATTGACACATAAGGAAGAAGTTGTGTCTGAAATGAGAAGTCAGGGTAGGGAACAGAAGTGATTACAACAAGTGTTTCCTCCTGGGTAAGGAGCAGGAGAGAAACCAGACATTACAGGAATCAGCAGTAAAGCTCTGCATCAGTGGGTATAAAAACTGCTCCAGGGCCTGCAGGAGAAGCTAAGTGTAACTGTGCCATCTTCTGCTGTGACATCTACTTTGAAAGTATTCCATCTCATCTAAAACTGCCTGACCTAGAGCACGACCATTTAGATACCGAGTCTTCCAGCCTCACTGATGACTCTCTCAAGTTCATGAATGTGGTTTATTCTACAGTTGTATTATTATGGATTATTTCAAACGGGAAATTACATAAAGAGCCCAATCTGAACTGAAAAACTATAAAGCTACAGATCCAACCATTTAGAAGACTGCTATACAACCTTCATTTCCTTTTTCCTGTCTGTCAGTTTCATGCTGATTTTAATGTTGTTATTCCCATGGGATCAGCGTCTTTAGCAGTTCAGAGGTTGATCTCACTGAAGAAGCATTTTGATTTATCTAAAATGTTGGGAATTTTTGTAATGCATTCCATCTGTAGAAAATGAATGTTTCACAAATATTAACCTTCATGGTAGGAAAGGAGACAGTATTTTCCTTACTGTATAGGTGAAGAACAGAGGTATGAGGAAAGAAGATCTGGAATAACTTCTCATTTGACTTGTCCAGCTGGAACTTTGGTTTGCTTTTTCAGGGTATTTAGCACCATTTCCATTAAGTCAGTTACAAGAGGGAACACTCAGCATTTCTGCAAGTAAGGCCATAGCCCTCACAGTAAGATACCACAGAGTGAGGACACACACAGAGCTGGTTAGTGACCACCTGTGCGAGTATTGGGTAAACCAATTTCCCTAAAGCTGCACAAGAACTCTGCTGAAAGTACAGAAAGAACTCCAGGTCCCCAAAGTGCTGTTTGGCTCCTTCACACTGAGCCACCTCATTTATTTTAGGCTATCTCAGTTCTCTGCACACCTGTGACTATCTATTACTGCCACTGGCAAACAAAGACAGCAGCTGCTTTGATTGCACCCTAGTGATCTGGGTTCTGTTACACTGGTGTTTTTCAGTGTGGGTCTTAAAGAACAGCACTAAATAAAAGGCTGCCCACTATCATTAGCAGCTGATGAGGGGATATTCATACTACCATATTAAAACAGCCAAGACATCTGGTAAAACCTCCTGTGTTACGGTCACCAAGGATGGTGGAGGGAAATGAGGAAAAACCCAAGAAAGTTAGCTAAGTTAACAGGAGGTTAACTAAGCTGCATGAGTAGGTAACAACCAGAGAAAAGAGAAGCAGGCGAGTATCACCTCTGCAGGTCCAATGCCAGTATTTCAGGCATAGGACTGCTTCCTATGTCTAATGCTTTCTTCCAGTGCCTGTGTCACAGTCCCATGGACAGACAGGGAAGGAGTCAGCTCCAGTCCTGTTCGTAGGAAAAAAAAGCCAAAGAAACAGACCTCTTGGGCAACATTATTTTTGAAGCACAGACTGTACCTTAAGGCAAATGCAGACTCTTAAAGTCAGTCTCCACTGTGAGTGGAGATATTCCTTTTCCATGCTTTCAGTGAAGAAAGTTCCAAAACTAAAACTGAGCAATAGGTCTCAGCAATCATCTTAATGCTCAGGGCAAAATTCTCAACAAAAAAGGAAAAAAAGCACCAAACTTACCAGTCCCAGGAAGATGCAGAAGAGCTGAACTACATCGGTGTAAGCCACAGAATAAAGCCCACCCACAAGTGTGTACATAGTTGCAATCAGGGCAGAAATAATAACTGAAATATTGACGTTAATGTCAATGATCACACTTATAGTTGCACCTAAGGGGAAAACCAAAGTACTGTGTGTTAGTGTAAGTCTGATGAGAAGGTACACCTTTGTTAAGTTGCATATATAGGTGCTGGTCTGACACTTAATAACAGTACTAACATATTCCCCCCTCTGTACACCCCTTTCTGCACCTTTGAGGGGAGTGGTAAAAGGGATGCTCCTGTTGGTGCAAGTTTAGCATCTGTCATTTTGCAGGTTCTTAAGAAAATGAGGATGGAAGGGTCCCAACAGCCCTTCCTTACAGTGCTCAAGCTCTGTAAGGACTACACTCTCTTGTTCTGCCTGGGGAAAAGCAGCTATGCACAGACAGCTGAAGGTTCCCTGGGTGAGTAGCAGCCACATGGGAGCAAATGTATCTTTGCAGTAAAGGCTTTTCTTGGGGATGTCTGCTGCATCCCACTTATGCTGTGAGCTAGCTCCTTTTGGCCAAGGAAGGAATGGTAGAGGAGGCATCTGCTAAAATGTCCACTGACATTTCTAAAGTGCTCTTGAATTTTTTATGTGGGACAAAAGTGGGTTTTTTTGCAAACTTCAAAATCCATCCTGAACTTTTCCAAGCATTATCAAGCAGATTTCATTTGTAGAAAGCAAAGCGCAATGTTGAGCTGACCACAAAACAGCTCATAGAATCAAAGAGTTGCTGACACTGAAGAACACCTGTAAGGATTGTCTCTTACAAGTCCCCACACAAGCAGTGTCAGATGAAGCAGGTTGCTCAGGATCACGTTCAGTCAGGTCTTGACTATCCATAAGGGTGGAGACTCCACAGCTTCTCTGTGCAGTCTGTGACAGTGGTTGATCTCTCACATTGTTAAAAAAAAGAAAGTTTCTTTAAATTTAAACAGAATGTCATGTAGTTCTTTTTGTACCTATTTCCTCTTGTCCTATCTTTGGGTTACACAGATATGAGCCTGTCTCCAGCTTCTTTATCCCAAATAAATAAATAAATATAAAATCAGGTATTTATGCAGATGGATAAGTTCCCCCTGAGCCTTGCCTTTTACAGGCTGAACAGCCCCACCTCTTTCTTTGTATACCAGATACTCCAGTCCCTTAATAGTCTTTGTTGCTCTTCAGTAGTGTCTCTCTGGTATGGCCACATCTCTGGTATCAGGGAGCACTGGATCCAGTATACCAAATGCGCTCTCAACCTGCTGGCAACGGTCCTTCCAATGCAGCCCAGTATGGCATTGGCTTTCTTTGACACAAGTACACATTGCTGGATAATGGTCAGCTTCATTGCCTTCTAAGACTCCCAGGTCCTAGCTGCAAACATGGTTTCCAGCTGGTTAACCCCCAGCCCGTACCAGAACATCAGGTTTTACCTTCCCAGGTACATGATTTACCATTTCTTTTTGTTGAGCTTCATGAGGATCCTGTTGGCCCAGTTCTGCAGCTTCCTGAGATCCTTCTGAAAGGCATTACAACTATCTGGCCTATTAGCAACTCCTTACCATTTTTTATTTTCTTCAAACTAGCCAAGGATGCAATTGGTCCCATCAGCAAGGTCATTAATAAAAACATTGCATAATATAGGAGTCATTGCATAATACAGGACCTCTGGGATGGACAATTGGTGACCGGCCACCTGGTGGCAGCCAGGACCATGAACTTCACCATCTCATGAACACTGCAGCCAACTCCGCCTCTGACCTTCACGCCCTTAACTAGTTCTTCCTTGTCTGTAGGTAACAGGTTCAACAGAGCACCTTCCTTCATCAGCTCCTTGATCATTTGTGTGAGGAAGCTGTTAGTGCACTCAACAAACCTCCTGAATAGCTTGTGTCCTCCTGCATTGCCCTTGCAGCAGCTGACAGAATGGTTATACATCTCTCTTAGAAGTATTAACTATTTCAAGTGATTGCAATGTTTTAAAACCATGCTAAAAAATTCCTCTCCTTCTAATTAGGATGATTTAAATGAAACATCTTGCAACAACTTTTAGGCCTTGCAGTTATTGTAGATGGATATTCTGGAGCACATATTTGGAAGAGTTCTGGCTACAGAAGACAACATGATGTGTGATGTATATTAGAATTTCTGGGAGCTGACAGGTGTGGTTTTTGCTGTACAGTGAGACTTCAAAGTTCATGTGCTTAAGGATAACAAGCTCAGACCTCTTTCACAAGTTGTAAGACCTGCTTCCCTTCTACAGCCCTGCCAAGCAAGGAGTCATGATGAAGATCAAGTAGTGAAGAGCACTGGGATTAAACATTCATCAATGAGGATAGGTGTGCAAATCAGGAGACATAAAAATTAGTCACAGAATAGTTAAATCAAAATCTTCAATGACCTTCATAATCCTTAACTGTCAGCTGTTAATATAAATCCAGAAAGGCACTCACACCACTTGCAATGAAATAAAACAGAATGGCTTGTCCTCAGTCAAAAATAATCCAAACATTCTGAGTGTTCTTCAAGTTATTCAAGTCCTATCACCTCAGTATGCAGTTTGTTCTTAGTCTTTTAAGGGTTTTGCGATGAAATTGTGGTAAACAAGCTCCCCCATTGCTTTGCAGTTCATCACAGCGCAGTTGGAGAGTACCTTCAAAGTTTATTTTTTGTTTAAAATAGCTTATGCTAGAAAGCATTACCACATGCATGTGCATTATTAGTATGATTAGCTGGTGAAAGTCAATTACTGGTGCTTCAACTCAAGGGCTTTCTCAGTTCTTGAAGGGATTGCTAAATTCAGGCCTGAAATATAATTAAAACCCCTGGAAGTTGATTTTTTTTCAGGACTGGATGAGTAGTTGGGTGATTTTCTATTGAGTCATAATTTCACTAATTCTCTGAATCCTTTCTTGAATCCCAAGTATTTTCTTCATTTTGTTAAGAAAAAAGGCATTTAGAATTGAAGAATTCTTCAATTTATTGATCAGCATCTGGTTTATTTCTATTATTTGTGTTATGGAAAGTTCTGTATATGTAGATCTCCTATATGCAAAGGATTATTTTGTTTAGATGCATTGGCAATGATGTTACACATTGTTAAGGGAAATTCTGACTGGCTTCTGTGATGCCAGTGGTGTCAAAGAAAAGCTGGGTCAGATAATACAAAAGGGGCACTTCGATTCACTCACATCACTCTCACAATCAAAGGAAATTTTTTGCTAAATCTTTTCATGCTCTTTGAAGAGGAACAACTTAAAGGTATGTGAAAACGATTAGATATCTTGCACGTCTTTCCATTATCAAAATAATTAATGGGGTACCATTTCTGGATTTAATTACTAGTTAGCGCATGGGTCTTAGAACTGTCACACTCTGAATCATTTGGCTTGAATAGTCAGCATTTGAAGCCAGAATTTTAATGCATTTCTGATATTCCTAATATTTTCTACCTGTGATAAATTAATATTTATACTGCTTATTCCTTACCTAAGGCAGAGAAGATGGCAGCAGCCCAAAACATTTCTCCCATTAAAGCTGGAATAAACAGTAGTCCTCCCATCCTTTTTCCATAAAGCTGCTGAAAAGGGTCTAGCATTGTCACATAGCCTTTGGATCGCATGGGTTTTGCAAAAAAAAGGCCACCTGCAAAGAAAAACAGTATAACACACCAGCTGCAGTTTAGAAATGCATTGCTATTAAGGCATAAAACACTCATTGTCAGTTAAGGGTACAAAAATATCAGCAATAGTGATTTTTTTTTGTTTCTTTCTTTGTTTTTTTAAAGTAAAAAGTACAGTTAAAATATCCTCTGGGAACTCTCACCTTACATCTGTCTACAGAGTTACTTAAACACACCCTTCCTGCCCATTAATATCTATAGTCTGATAATAAAAAATAAATTTTTTTCTTATTTTGTCTGGTTCAGTTTATGTAATCTGCCATTATGGATGCTGTCGGAGTTTTGTCTCATTTTGCATCAGCCTAAGGTAATGCCTTTCTACCTAATCCTGTTGATTCTTAGAGCAGAATCCAGCACGAATTTTCATACAGCCCTACTCTAAAAATAAAACTGTCTGAGATTCCTGGATCAGAAGTACAAGTTCATATGTGGTTTACATAGCAAAACTGATTCTTTTAGGACAATTCAAATTTATTATGTATGCTTAAAACAACCTTATTACACCTTCAGGGTAGGTCAGAGGTGGTCTGGGCTCTGCAGATGTCAGTTTTCCTGAATATTTGTCATACGCTTATTTCACTTATGTAAGTTCAGGAATTTTGCTGTATCACAATTCTGCTCCACCTGGCTTGTATATAGGCTTGATATGTACATAAATGTGCAAAGGCCTCCCCTCCTAAAATTCTTTCTGGCTTGGAAAAAAAAAAAGGACATACCTCAGTAAAGCTGAAAGATCACTTGTATGGAAATCTGTTTAGTTGAGATCTGCATGACTATAACTAAGTAGACTTCTACCACAGTAAAACTGCTATATAAGATACAATAAAAAAAATGGTAAACCAGTCAGTTCCCAATAAAATCTACTGTACATTATTTGGCAACCCTTAATTAGGTTCTTTATCACAAGATATGTAATGTATTCATCCTATTGTGCAGAAGATTTTCCACATTTCTATGTATTGCCTTTTATCACTCATATTTCTTCATTACATTAGGTTCCCTGAACAGAAGGTACTGGCTTAACAATCATAATTTACACTGTTTATGTGAACACTGTCTTTAGGTGGATAGATGCAGAAACTCTCCAGCATCTTTTACTATACTTGGATTAGTAATGGATCCCTTTGCTATTCTACTTGTTATGCCATAATTACAATAGACAATTAAAGAAGAAAAACAAAAGAGTCACTGGTATTATAATCTATTACGGTGTTCAAACACCTGTCAAAAGAAATAGGAGATATTGCAAATTTTTAAACTAAATTGATTGAAAAATTAGGAAAAGTGGTATGGAGAACAACACTGAACAAACAGGGAGATTATATAAATTTTAAATCCTTCCAGTCTGAAGCAATAATATTTCTCCTAGAATTTTATTTATAATTTTGATTATTTATTTTTCTAAAGAAGAATAAGCACTCCTCCACTCAAAACTTCATGTACAGCTCATGCCTACAGAAATGCTTTCCTCTCTGTGCTCAGCAGAGAGATCTATGGTCCCATGATACAGACTTCTTTACTCTGTAGCTATTGTAATTTCCAGGAAAACAAGTCTGGATATCTAAAAACATCTGGAAATGAGCAGAGAGGCTAACTCAACCCCTCCTGGGCTACTATTAATTTGTGTCAATTCTACAAAGGCTGAGAGTCAGCAAGATGCTTGTGACTACAATCCTAACAACCAGTTAATGACATCGATGGATCATGACCATCGTGACCTCATAATGACATAAACCGGTCTCTGGCCAGACAACCACTGTTATTATTTTCCTTACAGGAAATAGAGCTGTTCTCAGGGATGGGAATCACTATTGGAACTGGAGCTGGCGTGCACATGCCAGAGAGGAACATCTATGATGGGTAAAGCTTCTGCCTGGGAAGAAACGATAACCAGGACAGGCCATTGGAAAGCATTTTCAAGGGGAAAAAAAGAATGAGGAGGGAAAACAAGCGTATAGGAAGAAAAAAAAATACTGTGAAAGAAGGTCTGGATAAGCAACCAAAGGAAATAAAGGGACAGATTAGGTGGGAAAACCATGAGAAAAGACTCAGAATAGACTGAGAGGTCAAGTAATATTGGAAAAGCTAGTACACCGGGCACATTAAAGGAACATGAAAAACAGGATCTTTTTTGTAACAACACGCTTTTTAAACACTTGCATCATTACTGCAGCATTAAAAATTATAATGCTGTCTGTGTCTTACACTCTGACCTTGCATGTGGCAGGATTGTGCATTTGCATTTTGACATATGATTTGGAGTTTTGTACTGCAATTAAGAGGACGCATGGTCCAATTTTAAGGAAGTAATCTGGTTATACTACAGACTTCCTACACAAAACTAGAAAAGTTACATAGATTCTTGGTGAAGATCTGTATAAGCACTCTCCTAACCTGAAAGGATTTCTGTCTTTCTCGAATTCCAAGATTATAGGTGCCCTGATTCCTGGGCACCTGGGTCATGATACAGATCATGTAGGCATTCAAAGAAAACCCAAATATATAAAACTTGGTATATGTAATTTAAATACTCCCTCCCCCCCAAAGGACAATATGATTGTAATAATCAAATAGGTCTTGACAAGGAGTCCAGGAGACTTAGGATATCAAACTATTTATAGTTATCTTCTGCTTTCTTTGCAATAGAATGTATCGGCAGAAGGGATTCAGTTTATGTCAGCATCCTTTTATCAGACCCTAGTTGTTTCATTTGACATAATGAACTTTTCATCAGAACTGTTTAAACTGAGAAGCTATTAGTTTTAGTCTTTGCTTACCTAAAATCAGGCTAAGGGAATACCCAATAGGTGCCTGAGCCCAAGCTAGACCGTAGTCTGGAACATACACAGCTTCTGCTGTTCCATTGATGTAACCACCTCCTACCCATGTGGCTGAAAAGGAAGAGATGGAAAAGTCTTTAATGTACAGAAAGAAAGAAAAGCTCACACATTGTATAATGAAATTGTCATTACTTATAATACTGTTATTTTTTATTACTTGTACTGTACAAGTGCCAGGCACAGCATCATTCTATAAAAGGCAGCCCTAATCTGAATTTACAGCTTAAGCATATGAAAAAAGAAGTCAGATGGAACTGAGATAATCATCAAAGTGTCTAAGTCTCTGTATAGTCAGTGAAGGTGTGAGGGCTGAGTCCCCCACTACTTATTTTCCATTACTATTCTCTTTGTGTTAGTTCAAATGAAGGAGAGATGTAAGGGGGAATCTGAAGAAGAACAATAAACACACAGTGGAAAAAGTCATCCCAGCTGGGAAAACTCAAAAAATTTAAATTAGGCAAGAGTTTAATGAATGTGTAATTTATTTGGGCCTTCATGAAAAAAAAAATTGCCCTTAAAACCTTGCTGAATATTAAAATTGTTGTTACATGAAGTACATTCAGTAAACTCTGAGATATCTAAATATTTCTCTACAGGGTTGTGTTGCTTTTTTGTTGCTCTGTAAATTCTAAACAGTGAGTAATTTATTTTTGTTCTTCCTGAAGACATATTCATGCTATCTGCAATATTTCTGATTTTCTCTCTCTCTCTAAAAAGCAGTCTTTTTAATGTACCAATCACTGACACTTAATGAATTGATTCTTTGCCTTTAAGGGAAGTTTCTATACTTGACAATTTGGGATCTACAATATGTATGAGAGAAAAACTCCAACATAGAAATGTTTTGCAATTACATCTGCAAAAATATTTCATAACAAATCACATAATAAGGTTTACCTCTTCCTGTTTGCAGATTCCATGCAAAAATTTTTGATTATGTCTAATGTATACCAATAAGTTTTAAGAATCTAGGTTTGTAGTTTGAACAAAGGCAGACAGATCATTACAAGTCCTAGCTTTTTGTAATTCTGTTTTGATTTGTGTCAGAAACCTTTACTTTCTCATATAAAAGTAGCTCAGGCTTTCTTTGTAAACAGTCACAATTGTTAGAAATGTATTTTCCTTAAACATTCTTCACAATTTTCCCATCATCCACCATCAAACAAGCAAACTTGATTTTGTGTTTAAGACAAAAAATTGGACAGAAACACAAATGAAGAAAAATTCCCTCAGAAATTTAATTAAAATCTAAATTACCACTCTTTTCCACTTAACTGTGATATTTCCCAAGTAATACCAGAAGGTATTTTGCTGAATTTCACCATGGCTTTAGAAACAAAGATCTCTAGGGATGGGGCATTCACAACTTTCCTGGGCAACCTGTTCCAGTGCTTCACCACCCTCACACTAAAGAATTTCTTCCTAATATCTATCTAAATCTATTCTCCTTTCATTTAAAACCGTTACCCCTCATCCTATCACTACATGCCCTGATAAAAAGTCCCTCTCCACCTTTCTTGTAAGACTCCTTTAGGTACTGCAAGGCTGCTATGAGGTCTGCACAGATCTCTCTCTTCTCTGAGGAAAACAACCCCAACTCTCTCAGCCTGTCCTCTTACAGAGGGTGCTTCAGCCCTGTGATCATCTTTGTGGCCCTCCTCTGGACTCATTTCCACAGGTCCAAATCTTTCTTATGCTGGAGACCCCAGAACTGAACATGTTAACCCAGGTGGAGTCTCATCAGAGAAGAGTAGAAGGACCTGCTGGCCACACTTCTTTTGGTGCAGCCTGGGATGTGATGAGCTTTTTGAGTTGTGAGTGCACGTTGTTGGCTCATATTCAGTCTTTCATTTACCAGTATCAAGTTATTCTCAACAGGATTGCTCTTAATCCACTCATAAACCAGCCTGTAAGCATGTTTGGGTTCACCCCAATCCAGGTGGAGCACCTTAGACTTGGCCTATCACAGGCCCATCTTGAAAGGCCTGTCCAGATCCCTCTGCATAGCATCCCTTCCCTCTAGATTATCAACCACAGCACTCATTTTAGTGTCATCTGAAATCTTGCTGAGGGTGCACTCAATCCCACTGTCCGTGTCCCCGACAAAGATGCTGAATAGCACTGGTCCCAGTAGGAACCACTGAGGGCCACCACTTGCTACTGATCTCCACCTGGACACTGAGTTGTTGAATGTTAAGTCTGTGGCTACCTGGGATGTCTATTGTGTCTCAAGCAGCACAGGCTTATGGCATAGGCAGTAAACACCTCTATACAATATTAAAAGTAAATACTTAGGAATTATATTTGTCTCCTTCCCTGAAAATGCATGAGCATGAATTCTACATAAATGGTACTCAGTTACAGATGGGCAATAATATCCCATAGTCAACGACAGATGTCCAGCATTGCTGCAGCTGTGGTGCAAGGGGCCTTCAAGTTCCAGCGATGATTTACCTGGGCTTGCTACAGAGGTGGCAGTTGTTTTGCCAAGTGAACTTGGATGCTATGCCTAGCTGCCTCATTTTCTTTTGGAGAAGAAAAAGTCAACTCCTTTCTGTGTGATGTTGCAGAGGTCATTGCTCTCCCTGGCTGGGGAAAGGAACAGTGTCCTGCAGGCAGATATTACATAAGGTGGCATGGAGAATTCAGCCTTTATTTTTAATTTCTTGATTTCTGGATTGGAGTTTGAAAAATAGCTGCTGATCAATTTTTCTGTGCACACGACTGTATTGAAACATCTGTCAAGGACCATAGAGCTCTACAAAGGTTCTCTATGTCTTCTTCTGAGGGGGTGAACACGTAGTCAGCACATACATTGACATAAATAAATACATTAGAAGCAGAATAATGGGATGGGATTTCAACCTGGGATATTAATTTTCTGATACTCAGTTTGCTAAGCCACAATTTAAAGTTAGTTTAATACCTTTATTTTTGGTGAAATTATTTTTTTAATCATAAATTGGACAAAAGGAATATAATGTTTAGTAATCTATGGAAGCATTCATGTGGTAATCTATTTTAATCTTCTCTTTGTCTGCCATCTGAAGAACCAAAAACCACAGCAAATACCAACATCCATTTAAAACATGCACTCTATCAGACAAATACTGAGGATGTGAAGTGCAATTCTGCTCCTAGTTCTTATGAGGCACACAGAAGTTGATCTCAGACTTCTTTACATATATTGACATATATTAGAAAACCAGATATTTTGGCACTTCTTTGGGAATGATCCACTGATCGTCTGACCACTCAAATTATTTCATAAAATCATCAAGTTCTGTAAAATGAAAATCCTGACCCAAGGATTAGAACAAAACATAATGTTGTAATTTTTTTTTTTTTTCTTATTACCTTTTGGGTCATGTTTGTGAGCATTTGGTCACGTCATGTCAAATATTTCCTTTGGGTTTTAAACTCAATCACCAAAATCAAAGTAGACTCAAGTTTTTTGCAGTCTTAATTCTTCTTAAGAATTTAATTCACAAAATAAGGAAGTCTAATATTTAAAGCAACATTTTATCTATAATTATGTAAAAATCATACACATTAAATGCATATCTTCTATGGTAAGGTGTTAGTTCATTTTAATATGAGCTGCTGTGATCCATCCACAATTCAACCTTTTCACTCTTTCTATTTTCATAGTTGCAGACACACTCAACTTTCAACAGATTTGTGTTCAGTATTTCAGTAGCTAGTTGATACAGCTACTTCTTCAGGATCATAGAGTATATTTAAATATATCCATAGCTGTTACTCATAGGTAGTGCTTTAAGATTTTTCAATGCTGTTTAGAGAATCAACTATAATTACTCAGGAATCTTGAGTTTGATGCTTATGCTCCGATCTGTATTTCAAATTTATAGGTTAAGTGCTGTCATCCTCTCAACCAAGTAGTCCTGGAAACTGCTACTACTTCTGTAGCCAATATCCATGGAACATTGCAGTGTTTGTCTCAGGAAACAAAATTAGGCCTTATCTCAAGGTGCTTCACATCCATACAAACAATATTCTTTCTGGGGATCTTTAAAAAAAAAGTCTTGTTTTCCTCTTTCAGGGTAGGTTTTGCTTTTTAGTTCGTATTTAGATAATTAAACCAGTAGAATATAAAGACAGTGTTGGGATACTCCTGTATCTTTGTTTGCAAGGTGCCATTTCTGCACCTATCATTTTTTGAGGAGCAAAGTATACCCTTGAATAATGTGACCATTTTGTAAAAATTATAAATCTGTAAAAAATATTGCATATTTTGATTAGCTTACTTTCATAATTGTTTTATTATGACTTTACAAATTGAGTGTCCCAAACACCCTCACTGAAACAAAACTCGGACTAACCCCTGGTTCAGGAGATTTGTGCCCACGTCTAGCTTCATGTGCCAGGCATGGCTCCCTGCAACTGAAAGTGCAGTTTAGTTGCCATTTCAAGCTTTAATTGCCATATCTAATGAAGGCATAGGAGAGAAAGTGTGTAAACCCTGACAGTATAAAATCCATGACAGTTTTAGCTACACGAAGGCTTTGGGATAAGTCGGACATTCTACTGCAGAGATGAGATACTGTGCCATCCCTAGAGCTTCCACGAAACAGAATAAGCATGTGTGGATGTGAATTGTGGTGGTTGTAGTAATTGCCTGCAAATAGGAAGCCCCAGTTCAAGTCTCATCTGTGCTTCAGCTGTTACGCAAAGTGCTCCTGTAAAATAGGATTAAGGAGACCAGAATTTGTGTCTTCTTCATGCAAAACCATTAGACCACTTCTGTGGGGCGTGCCTTGTTTTATCTCCACTCCCTCTATCTAATGTTTACTGTTTTGTGAAAACCAATATTTCTGCAAAATATTTTTGTTTCAGTGCTCTTGAGAATATTTCATTCAGCAGAAAGCAGTCCAATCTGTTCTTGTTAGGAGTAATCTCATCATATCTTATGCTTCAGTAGCTGATGGATACGTGATACAGTAAATTATAGGAAAGTGCAAAAAGTAGAACTGACTGTATTCAAACTTTATTGACTTTTACAAACATTCTTTACTCAATATCTAATATTCAGTCTCTGAATGAGCGAAATGCCCCTGCAAAAGGACGAGAATTTATCTAGATTAAAGAACGCAGAATTTTGGCCCAAGTTTTACGTGGCTCTTCCTTATTAAATAACTCTGAAAGCAGAGTAGGGAAAAACTGCAAAACATAAATACAACTTGATAAATTCAATTTGACAATTGAAAGGGTTTTGCCTGCATAGGATTTAGAATAAATTAAAAAAAAAAAAGGCATGATTAAAAATTCAATAGCCTAAATAAAAATAGTGTGCTAATTTATTGTTCTTATAATGCCTTTTTGTTCCAATACCATAATGTAAGTTTTAAGATTTTAGACTGCATTGTGAATATCTTATTTACCCAGGGAAGGCAGCTGGTTTGACTGGCTCTGGGAAGCCAGACAGCACTGTTCACAAAATTAGTGAAGAACTCTTCATTAACCTAGGCTTTTCTTACTGATACTACTATTGATAGTAATGTATTATTTTTTCAAATTGCTGCAAAAGAAGCTGAAAGAATCCACAAAGTAAGTTTGCTGAAATGTGTAGAATTATGAGTTTGGAACCACAACAATTTTCTTTTAGAAAGTTGATTGATGTTGCACACCCTCCTCTCCACCCCCCCAGTCTTTTTCCCTATAAACTTGGTGTTACTCAGATTAAACAAAACCAAAAATAACGCACAAATTTGGATGGCTTTAACAACAATAATTTAATACTTATTAATCTATACAAATTCCATACTTCTGTCCTGAACATATCTGATCCACAGGTAAATATGGAAGCAATGAACACTAACATTAATATATTCTTCTTTTATGATTTACAAATATTTGTTGTTTTATACAGATGCTACATTTGGCTGTTCACTAAACAATTGGATAAAAAGTATATGCATTTTCTCCATTTTGCATTATTCAAAATGCAGGTTACACTTCATTCAGATGGAAAACTGACAAGTTATACACTGGCTAAGAAAAAAAAAAGGAGTGTTTTTTACATACCGGTCATTGTAAATCCACCAACTAGCAAGCCAATGTCTCTTCCACCGACTATAATAGCTTCGCTGCGGTCTCCTTCGCTGCCAGTGTTCTTGGTTTTCCAAGCAGCCCATATCCCTACTGCCAGGATAGCCAGGTAGAAGACAACTATGGCCACCAGTCCCTCCACATGGAAAGCCATATTGAAGTCTCAACTGTTTCTTTTATTGCAATTTCATTAAGACCTCTGGAGAGAATACAATAATAGGTCTGCTTTTAACAAACCTGACTTTTAGAATCAGTGTACAAAACCCCCTCAGATGGTTATTCCAGTGAATTTATGAAATGACAATTTCAGGTGTAATTGAGATTAATGTTGCATATGAATTAAAACGCCTGTGGAGCAACAACCAATGGTTGTAGCCTCTGATTACAAAGGGGGATGAATGATATGGCTGAAAGCTACACTATTCTTAGAAATCAGTTATTGAGCACTGATTTTTTTTTTAGTGTCACCAAGTTCTCAGTGTCTGGGAACTCTTCAGTCAAGGAATACTTTGGTACAGAGAATAGAAGAACTTGGCCATATGGACTAATACAAAAGTCTCTAGCTTGAAGACAAGCCACAAAACTGCTTTAAGTTATATAAGAACTATGGATAAGTAATAGCTACAACAGCAAAATACATCTTTTACGTCTTTGTGTTGGAATGCTGAGTCTTTTCCCCCTTCTATCATCTCCTGTATTTTAAAATCTGCACTTTCTTTTTTGCAACATTCAATTGTCCAGCATGAAAAGTATCAGTCTGTTCTCTCTCGCAATCTGAGAAGCAAACGGAAAGCTTACGAGCTGTCGGACGGCAGAAATGTCGAGGTATACGAACTACAGCTGGGGGAGAACTCCCGAGCGACGCGGACAGCGGCTGCCCCGAACCAGCCTCTCCCAGAACCCGCTCCCAACCTCGACTCGCCGCTCCGCGGTCGCTCCCCCAGGGCCGCGCCGGCGAGACCCGTCCGCGCTCCCGACGGATCCCGCGGACCATCCCTACCTACCGGGGCGCTCCGCGGAGGTGCCGCGCCCTCGTGCGCGGCCGCGCATCCCGCTCCGCGCCCGCGGCAGGACCGCCCGCCCCGCCCGCCGCCCCCGCCGTCGGGCAGGGAAGGGTGTCCGCGCCCGCCGCCCACCTGCGCTCCGCCGCCGCGCTGCCCCCGCGGGGCACGGCCGCACATCCCGCGGGGCGGTGTCGGGGCCGAGCCGCCGGGAGCTTTGCCCCCCCCCCCGGGGGTTTTCCCGCTTGCGGGGGCAGGGAGGGATCAAAGGCAGGATCGTCTCTTTCCCCTCTGGTGGGGAGGTGCGCCGAGTGCTGAGGCTGCGACGGGGGGCTCGTGGATTAAAAAGAGGAAAATCTCTTTTATAAAGGAGGAGGGTTCAGTGGGGTGAGAGGACCGTGTCCGTCAGAGCTAGGGGGAGGAAGGGGGAAAGACGTCAGAGTGCTAGGGGACGCTGGGGGGGAAGTAAGGATGACTCAAGGGAGACTGATTGTCGTGTCATGGCAGGGAAGCAGGGTTAGGAAGTGGAACTGGGGTGAGAAAACAAAAGAGAATGAGGGGAGACAGGAAGGAACAGGATCATGCCAAACCAACGGGAAAGAGGAAGAAGAGAAAGGGCTGATCTAAAGAGATATGCTGAAAAGAGAGGTGAAGGAAGGGGAGAGAGTGGAGGTACGGAGAGGGAATGTGAGCTCTGTGCTCTCTTTGCTCTCCCTGGCACCCTTGTCGCTCCATCCCTGGGCCTAGCATTGAGCAAGCACCAAGCCAAGGCATGTCTATGAGAGGCTGGTCAGGACCATCTTTCGTCACAGCTCCCTTTCAAACCTGGTTAAACATGCATCGTCTTCTCCCACATGCAGGACAGCTAGTTCTTGGGGAGTCTCCATTTTTTTTGCGATGCCTGTCATAAATGTCCCCTGCAGAGCTACAGTAATACAAGCTTTCCTGTTATAGGACTCTTGCTCTCTGTCTCCAAATGATGCTGGACAATGAATCTCTAAGTGCCATGACTAAGGGTACATGTGCAAAGAAGACCCATATGTGCCCTTACCCCAGTTTTTACAAAGGGGAGATCATGCTGAGCTGTAGCAGTCTCAGCTCTTAAGACGCAGTTAACATGGGCCATTGGCTCATGCAAGTTGAAAAGTAGAAATAAGAAGCCCACAGGAGTACAGAATTGCTGTTGACAAAAGAACTAATTTAAAGCAGAAAATATGAAGTCATATTAGACTCAAGAGGAAAACTGTAGTATGGGAAGATGTAAAATCAGAGAGAAGGAAGGTGGCAATTCAGGAAAGCTCAGCCCACTGCAAGAAACAACCCAAGGGCTGGCACTTTCCTGCATATTTGCCAACTGCCTGGCCAGCCTGGCTGGCAGAGCAGCTTCATCTGGCTGGTCACGAACTGCTGAGCACATCACACCACATTGGCCCCAGCCATTTATTATGTACATCATGCACAATAAATTATGATTGCATACTCATAAATTGATTGTGTGCATAAGACTGCTTTCAAGTCTGGGGTCAGTTGAAGGAGCCCAAATAAAGGTGGCCAAAGCATTAAAGGTTAGAAATGTTACTATTTTTGTCAGCCAAACTTGTAGGTTGTTAAGTGACGCCAGTGATGCAATGTTTGCTTTGGGAGTGCACAGTAAAAACCTCCTCCCAGTAAAAGGCAACTGAGATGCTTTAGACACAGGTGAGCATAAAGGCATCACCTAAACAGAAATCCTGTCATAAGCAAACACCATAATATAAATAAAATGTAGAAGTCACACACCTTGGAAACGATGTTGAGGGTGTCTCAATTAGAAATAAACAAGTTTCAGCAATTAAAATGTGATAGAAAATGCTTGGATGCTAAAATGGATGTTAAATTAAATTCACATAAACTTTTAATTAAGAAAGAAGTCATGACAACACAAAGCATGGCTCAAGTCTGTCTGAGGCAAATTCAAAAAATGTTGACCTGTGGAAAAGAATCCTTTCTTAGATTAAATTCCAACTTTGATCTTCCCTGAAGACTATAATTAATTTCTTTTGTCCTTAGTAGGTCATATTAACACTTGTTTATGGCACTGGAGTGGGGAAGCTACTTTTTAAAAATAATTATTTCTAGAAAATAATTAATTTTGAATTAATTATATTTTTAATTAATTAATCAAAACTAATCCTAAATGTCTATTATTTTTAATTTGTGTAGCCTCTTTGGACAAGTTTTGTCTCTTTGATTCTCAAGAGTGGTTTGCAGCCTTCCACCCAACAAGTCAATTGTGCTGACCAAGTTTTACCTTACATGTGTACTCTGCTCCTGTAATTACTTAACTACAAATAAGTTAAATCATACATTCTCTCATGAGATATCCACTTAGACTATAGGTTCCTTGAGTCGATAAGGCCTTCGGTTATGAAATCATCTTCACCTGGATGTAGCTGAGAAGGTCTGATACAATTATTTTAGTGAATATTTGTTGGTTTATTAATTTACTATCCCTTCTTTGCTCATCCACTACTACTGTATCAGGTAGTTTTCTAATGCTTTCTTTTGGGAAAGGACCCTGCTAAACTGGATGCCTGTGTGCATTTTGCCAACTGCATCCCAGCAGCATCCATCACCCACAGCCATACACAAAGCTCATTTCTCATAATATCTGAAGGTGTGCACAAATGAGTACCAGTACATTTTATGGTTCTTGGGAAAAGATCTGCTTTGGTGCCAGAGATACTACATGCAACTGCAAGACAGCGTCCATACTAGACCTGAGTCCATTTCCAAAGAGAACTGCTGTTGAAACGCTTAGAACTGAGGTCACCTTTTCCAGGAAAGAAGTAGTTAATTGGCAATTTGTGGCTTCTAAAATAATTGTTCTTTATTTGAATGTAATTTTCTTTTTTTAAAGAGCATAGATTGAAAATATACTCTTCAAAAAGAAATCCTGAAACTTAGTTTTGTTTATATTTAAGAAAGGACACACTTTCCAGTGGAAGGTGTTCCTACCCATGGCAGGGGAATTAAACTGAATGATTTTTAGGTCCCTTCTAACCAAACCATTCTATGATTCTATGAAAGCTGGCATGGATGCCTGCATTAATCACATTTCTTTATACAGCTCTCAAGGAGTGTTTTGTGGAAAGAGTGGAAATTAGCTTTCATGTACAGTACTTGTCTTTTAAGCAAAGATATTACAGTATGTCCAAAAATTTATTGAGCCTACATATGATTATTTGGACTCCCTCTGAGTAACAGTAAATATTTTTGCATTTTTAAACCTATGTTTATCACTCAGACTTTACTTAGAAAAAGGTCACCCTGGATACAACTCATGGAGCTGATAAAGATATTTGTTTAGGGACAGGTAGCCTAAACTGTCATCCAGTTTCTTTTTTTCTAATGCCTTCTGCTAGTTGGTCTCTCAGAGGTGTTTGAACAATAGGAAATATAAGGGGCACAATGAAGCCTAATCCCAATGAACATTTATGTGAAGGACTGTAATTCGCAGTATTAAACACAGGTTTAAGTCATGATGTAGAACATCTAAGTAATAAATATGTTTATGGCTATATAGATATTTTATGTATATATTTACTTATATATTTTGCCTTTGAGGTAAAATTCTAATTTCTCATAGATTTCTATGTTTAAAATTTTCAATGTGTAATTATGCATTTTATGAGATTGGATTACAGAGTTGCTTAAAATTACACTAGCTTTCTTAAGAAGAAAACCAACCAACTAACAACAGCAAAAACAAACCCAGTGTTTTGATGCTGCTCCCTTAAGAAAAAAGCTTTTACTACAGGTTAGTTTAAGGCCTGTACTAAAAACTTTCTTGAGACTGATGCTACAAAAAGGTTTGCGATAGAATTATTCTAAAAAAAGGACCTCTCGATCAATTTGTAGTTTTTGGGGTAGTATCCATCTTAGATTCCTTCTATAATTTCTCTATTAACCATGGAGTCCCCAAAGAAATGATTGATGCTCAACAGCTCAAAAAACACCCATCCAGATGAGAACTCTTTTGGAAGATATATTTGATAGGTATTAACAGTCTCTGGTTATCTTGCAGAAACATAAGGCTGCAGTTCTGAGCTTTTAGGGTTCCAGATGGCGTAGATCACTGATGTGGCTTGTTTCATAGTAAAATGGAAAAAGTGTGAAAGAAATAGCTCTTTTTTCCCTATTGTGGCAAATGTTACATGTGACATATTTTTAATACTGTGCTTTACATACTTTCTGTAAGTTTGTGGTATAAAACAAACAGAAATCCAAAGTAAAACAGTGAAGAACTGTAAGAATCTAAAGTTTAGTACTTAAAACCATAAAAAAAGGAGAGTTGAGACTGTGCATGAAATCTTAATACACTCTTCTTTTCCATGTACTTTTTGAGCCTTTACCTGCATGATCATGTGCTAATTTTTCCTTGAGATACCTGTCTCTTCAGTAAGAGTTAATCTTCACTTTTTCTATTTATATTCCTCATTAATTATGTGGCCTTACAACTACACTTCATTCAAATTTCACAATGAAAACAAAACTGGTGATTTTCTCTGGGTATTTCTGTGGTGTAAAATATTAGTGCTTCACAAATACAGATAATTTTATCTACAGAGGACATAAGGGAATAGGTGACATTTTTGTACAGCTTTATATATTTTTATATATTTAAGCTATAGCTCCAGTCAATCTCTGTTGCTGTTTTATGCAAACCTAAGAAGCAACTAGTTGGGGTTTTTTTCTTTCCTTTTTTTTTTTCCCTCTGAAATTCTAAAGAAAAGAAAATCAATATTCAATCTAAGTCAGACATCTAGCATGAAAAATTTCAGCCTGTAGCCTGGTGCCTGGCAAAGTTGTATGCAATTAAAAGTAAGCATTTTATTATGTGAAATTTCAGGCAACTTGAACTGAATCAGCTTTTGAACACTTGTTGCAAGAAAGCTGTCATAAAAAATTGAAATTAAGGGATTGAAAGAGAAAATAGAGCATGTTAATTTTTTTCATTCTCTGACATGTTTGTATTGCATTATTCCTGTTTTACTTTAGTGTAAATAATTAGTGTAAATCAGAGAACTGCCTTATGGTAAACTGTACTGATTAAAATGAAACAAGTAAGGATGTTGTGCATTATTATAATTATTGAATATTGATATTGACAGTTGTTGCCAGAGGCCAGTGACATTAAAGCTCCATTTCAATAAGGGCTATGCAAACATATTATAAAGTGAAAACCCTGACTT